AAGTGCCCATGAGACATGATTCTCATGTCAAGGTTATGACAGGGGCAGGGGCAGGAGGAGCCCACAGGCAGCTCTTGTCCTGGGAAGGTGACTGCTGTGCAGTGTGGAGCACAGCAGTCCTTGCAAGATTTTTCCCAAAACTTAAACTGAAGATTCTCCATGCAAGTGTGTGCACCTGCCTCCGGCTCTGCAAGTCTGGATTAAACATGAAGACAAGCACCTGAAGCTGCCGCACTGAGGCCACACAGTGAGCACAGGAACCAAGGAGAAAACAGAGACAAGGATTGAACCCTGAAGACCTGATGAGTGATGAGTGATGAGTGACTTTGCGCCTGGGATTCAAAGTGCAGTAGCCAACCATGTCCAGGGCGGGCAGGAGGACTGCAGGGCCAGGACGCTACAAGCCCCCCAATCCCCAGGAATCTCTGAGCTTGCTTTTCCCTGGGCCCTCGCTGGCGTTCTCTCGTGTGCCCTCTGTGACCTTGCAGGTGTGCCTCGTAGTGTCATCCTCTGAGTGACGCCACCCTCATAGCCCTGACCTCTAGGCCAGGTGTGCACACTTATTGAGGCATGTCACACACCTACTCCAGGTGCCCACAATCAGGCAGGCATGTCCCTCGCCCATGTGCCCAAGCACTTTCTGTGCCAACAGGATCAAGGCCGCAGATGAGAGCCACAAAGGCTAGTGGGCCAAAGAGCCTAAAATTGATTTACCCTACAAAAGTAATCACACCAGTCTGGACACCATTTGACCTGCTGGTGAATAGCATTTGACCCTGATCCCACATTACAGCATGGGCCTGGGAGCCCAGGAATTTGAAAATATAATCCAGGGTCACCACTGGTCCCATCGTAGCAGCCTCTTACCACATTGCTGATAACAGTGCAGCTGGTGCCTTCCTGGATCCCACCCTTCCCACACCAGACCCTGAAGGCAAGTCCCTCCTGAGGGCTTGGCCACACATGGAAATAACCAAGCTGGCTGGGAGCCAAGGAGCAACCATCACGGGGGTGACACCTGGCAGACAAGCAGGCCTGGCCTTGATAACAACCACCTGCGTGCTAGCAAATTCACTTGATCTCTCATGTGCCAGCTAGTAGTGGACCCCACCGGAGTCTGTGCTCCCCCACAGACTGCACCCCTTCAGCATGTGTGTGTGCTCTTCCCCAATAACCAGCAGGGGGGCATAGCCCAGTTCCCACTCTTTCACCACAGATGCCTCCAGCCTCCAGAGCCGCCTCCGGCAGACCAGTGGGCCCAGCCCACACACCACACACCACCAGGGTGAGAGGTTCCAGTCACACTACAAGGCCCACCTCTTGGTCCATGCCACACCCACAACCCACAGCCACAGGGAGGCAGTGCCAGTGCTGCATCCACCCCTGCCAGAAGCCCAGCAGCCCCAAAGCACATGCAGCAAACCTACCAGTGAGCAGGCTCACACCAAAACAGTGAGCCTCCCTGGTTACCCTGCAGCTGGCAGCTGGCACTGCACATGGTTGCACCTAGAGGGCACCACGCAGCAGGTGACCCAGACTCACAAGGCACATCCTGTAGCTACACTGGGCAGCCATGGGCCAATGTGCACCTGCAGCACCAACCCCTGAACACACCTGAGAGGGGGCTTGGGGTCAAATTCTAAGTGCCAGTGTCTGGCAGGACTGACAGCCCTACCCACACAGCCGCCCCGATTTGGCACAAGGTGGCACAACCATGAAGGGGCTCAGCTCAACACACAACTTGGGGAAAAAGGAACTGCACTCCAGAAGGACACTCATCACAGCACATGACTAACCCTCAGGACCCAAACAGGTAGTGATGGTCCAGGTAATCACAGAGCACCAGGAAGATGGGGGACAGAAGAACATGACCCGTATGACAGAGCTAATCATAGTAAGGAGATCTCTCTGTGGGGAAATGTCCAAACAGCCATAAGCTTTTGATGTGCTCACCGTTGTTAGTCATTACGGAAATGCAATTCAGACCAAAATTAGGTACACTTTACCCTCACTAGCTTGTATAAATTAAAAATTCAGATAATAACAATGTTGACATGAAAGTGAAAACAGTCTGGAAATTGCCCTAATGACTAATCCTAAAGGTAACAGATGATCCAACAATTCTGTTCATAACATATACCCAAGAAAAGTGAAAACATACCCACAAAAAAACTTGTATAAAAATGTTGTTGCACAAAATTAACAGGCAACTATAAATCAGATACACTCTGCAGGGGAGGGGAAGAGAGAGGGATCAGAAGAGGGGTGGGAAGGGCACAAGGGACTATGGTGATGGTGCATGGGTGAATTGGGTGGTGAGAATTTTGCCAGGACTACACCTGAGAGGAGAGAGTATGCATTGTACAAGAGGAAGAATGATGTAAAATTAAAAAAAAAGAATATATATATATATATAAAGTTTGTTGCAGTTTTATTATTCCTAATAGCCAAATGATGGAAACAACCCAAATTCCCATCAATGAATGAATAGATCAACTGACCATGGTGTGTTCCTAACACAGAATATTCCTCAGCCATGAAGTGAAATAAAATCCTGCTCCATGCTACAGTGGAATTGAATCCAGGAAATGCTGTGTCAATGACAGGAGTCAGCATTAAGACCACACACTATGTGGGCCTCCCCTGGTGGCACAGAAGTTGAGTGCTGGGCTGCGAAGTTGCCTGCAGCCTCTGCAGCGCCAGTTCTGATCCCCGGCTGCTGGCGAGGGTCCCACATGGCACGACAGACCTCTCCTGCCACGCCCGCTGCTCCACTCAGCAGTGTATTTCGTCAGTCTGCCTGCTCTGCTCCCCGCTCTGGCTCTGGTGAATTCTCTCACCCTCCCGCACTTCTGACTGTACCCAGTGCTTGCATAAATAAATAAATATTAAAAAAAAAAAAGTCCACACACTCTGCAACTCTATTTATGTAAAAGTCCTGAATAGAGACATGTAATGAGAGACACAGAAACTTATCTGGTTGCTTAGAACTGGGGTGTTTGGAGGCAGAAACTGGAGGATGGTGGTAGGTTTCATTTTAGTCAAATGACACTGACAACACTTCTGCCAGAACTGGGCCATGTGGTTGCCAGGCTAAAAGAACCTGTGAAGAGTGACCAGGTTAGAGATAGATGGAACAGCACACAGGGAGATTAGTGAGGACTCTCTGCTTCTTCTGAAAACCAGCTATGTCGTTGCTCTCTCCAACCACAACATGGAAATTCCTAAGAGCACAGGCATGTCATAATCATGCCATAGACCCCGGAAGGAATGTGTGCAAGACTGAAGTGGGAGTCACAACATTTGCAGGAGGACGTTCTCCTCTCTCTCTTGAGTACAGTCACCACCGAGGCCCCATGATGGCTCTGCACACACAGCTGGCCCCTTTAAAAGCCATTCCCTGAGGGCCTCCCCTGGTGGTGCAGTGGTTGAGCCGCAGCCTCTGCAACGCTGGTTCAATCTCCGGCCACCGGCGAGGGTCCCACGTGGCACGCAGACCTCTCCTGCCACGCCCGCTGCTCCCCTCAGCAGTGTATTTCATCCCTCTGCCTGTTCTGTTCCCTGCTCTGGCTGTGGTGAATTCTCTCACCCTCCCGTGCTTCTGACTGTACCCAGTGCTTGTATATGTATAAATAAATTAAAAAAAAGAAGTAACCTACTGAAAAAAAAAAAAAGCCATTCCCTGAATCCTGTTCTCCCCAGTGCCACCCTGTGACCTGATAGTCCTTGCAGGTATGACTCAGGTAGGTCAGGAACCTTCTTCCTCTAAACGGACATGCTCAGATTTTCCTTGTTGATCTGAGGCCTCTGTACATCACCTTGAGGTAAACCAGGGCCACATATGGAAGAGTAATTCACCCTTGGGTCAGCAGCCCACGGAGCAGGAAGACACTACCTGACATGCTGCTTCTGAATCCACTCAGATGCCCCTGACCTCCTGCAGCCTGTGCAGAGTAGCCACCAGGAGGCAGGAAAGAGCCACATGTGTCAGGGTTTTTAAAGCATCCTGGAGAGGGTGACAGGAGGGTTAGTCACCACGAGGAAACAACAGAGTAAATAGGTGACATTTTATCACAGTTTCATCCTTGACAATCGTGCATCCATTTTCAGACTCCATGGACTTCTGATTTGAATCTTACAGAACTGCTGGTTTCAATGGCACAGGTTCAGACACATCAGTACCAAGCCCCTAAACACACACAGACCAGTCCAGCTAAAAGAACATCACAGTCCTCATCTGACTTCTCTGTGGTCATAGCCCCCTCCCTCACTTTGCTCTGAGATCCTCTTGTCCCACCAGACACACTGCTCTGTCTTTCTGGATGAAAGCCTGACACCAAGAAATTCCTTGTAAACCTTTGTTCTCTTGATTATAAATTGAGACATTTATTACTACCTTTCCCCAGGCAATTAAATACACTTAACAATGGTGAACATTGGTTGGACTGCTCGTAGAGTTTGCACATAGACTCCAAGCTTTTCCTGGGAGCACATGACATCTATCTCATGAGCACACTCTGCGGATACTGGGCACAGTCCCTATGGCCCGCCTCAGGACACACACTTGGACATAAAGTTAATAACCTCAATGACTCCATGTGTACTTTGCAAGGAGGAGGTTTATTCAGTTTCCACTACTCAGGTACTACACCCTGGGGTGGGACCTGGTCCCACTAAGCCTCCTAATGGCACCTACAGACCAGGATCACAAACACAGAGAGACTCCACGCTGAGCTATGCCTGGGGAGGAGATGGATGACAACTGCATGAGACTAGCAGAGGAGGATCCCTAAGCTGAGGGTGGGGACTCTAGAAATTATCCCTCCCTTTCCTGTGTCCCTGGTGGCTGAGTCTTCTCTGAAACCACAAACCTCCCCAAGCAGCAGCCTGGGCCTGGCTGATTTGCATACCCAGCAGCTCTCTCCAGCAAGGGGATAAGACAGACCTGGGGGGGAAACTGCCCAGCCTCAGCCTCAGGGAGCAGAATCAGGGACCCCTCCATGGCCTGGACACCTCTCCTCCTGGGCCTCCTGGCTCACTGCACAGGTGCTGAGCCAGACTCTCTGCACCCCAGCCTCTGGGCTCTTGGACAAGCCTGTTTCTGACTCTGAGTTCAGCAAGGGCTGCCTGTGGGGGCAGGGTACTCATGACCCTGTGCAGAATAGGGGGTTGGGGGTTGAGACCCCCAACTATGCTCACTGTTTGGTGTGAGCCTGCAGGCTTGGATGGTCAATAGAAAGGGAGGGCTGTTTATTCTTTTGTAAAATCACCATACATCAGTCAGGCTCAAGGGGCACTGAGGATGAGACTGAGGGAAGGGGACACACAGGGCAGCCTGACAACCACTGGATCTCAGGCCAGGCAAGGGGATGTTTCTGCGAATGGGTCCTGCTATTAAACCCCCCTCTCCTTTTCTCCCTTGCAGGCTCTGTGGTCTCCTATGAGCTGACTCAGCCTTCTTCAGTGTCGGTGTCTCTGGGACAGACGGCCAGGATGACATGTCAGGGAAACAACATTGGAAGTAAAGTTGCTTACTGGTACCAGCAGAAGTCAGGCCAGGCCCCTGTGCTAGTCATGTATGATAGCAGCCGGCCCTCAGGGATCCCTGACCGGTTCTCTGGCTCCAACTCGGGGAACACCGCCACCCTGACCATCAGCGGCACCCTGGCCGAGGACGAGGCTGACTATTACTGTGCAGCAGGTGATGGCAGTGGGAGCAGCTGGCGTTACTCACGGTGACACAGACAGATGGGGAAGTGCAACAAGAACCTCCCTCCCAGGCCTGGCGCTCACTCCCACAGACCTCAGAGGCATCCTGTGGGGGCCCATTCAGGGCTGGGAGACTCTGAGCAGCTTCTTTGTTCTCAGGGCTGCTGTTCCCCTGCTGAAATAGAGAGGGTGGGAGTCTGATCTGAGCTCTGAGACTCTTGTCAGCATCCATTTCTTCAAGGTCCCTCAGGGAAGGCCTCCAGGGCAGCCAAGGCCTCTCCAAGCTCAGTCTCTTCACGTGTCCCGGGGGTGCTGAGAGGAGTCAAGACTCAGGAAGGACAGTGTCTGGCTCTGGGCGGCCCCTCACTCTGGTGGTCATTCTTGTTATTAGTTTAGGATCACCCTGCACTGGAGCCCAAGCCCGCTTGTTGGAGAAGGGCCCCATGGGAGGGGTGGGGATGGGGCAGCAGCAGTGTCCTCCAGACTCCCTGCTCCTTTGTAGGTTGACATCTGAGCATTTTCTTTTCTTTTTTTTTTAAGTTAATTTTGCGTTTATCTTCATTTTTTCTTGACTTTTCTTTTTTTTAGTATTTTATTTATATATTTTTTACATCATGTTTTTCCCCACCCCCTGCTCCCGCCACAGGTGTAGTCCCAATAGAATTTCCTTCACTAACACACCCGTGTATCATCACCTCAGTCCCTTGTTCTCCTCTCTCTCTCCCTCTGATCCCTCTTCCTTCTGCTCCCCTGCAGGATGTCTCTGTTTTATAATTGTCTGATATTTTTCTTTTCCCTTCTGACTTATTTCACTGAGCATAATTCCTTTTAGCTCCATCCATGTTGCTACAAATTGCATGAGTTTATCTTTTTTGATTGCTGAATAGTATTCCATTGTGTATATACCATGTCTTCTTGATATATACACAATGGAATACTATTCGGCAATCAAAAAGAGATAGAGGGCCTCCCCGGTGGCGCAGCGGTTGAGCGCTGGGTTGCGAAGCTGCCCGCAGCCTCTGCAGCGCCGGTTCAATCCCCGGCTGCTCCCCGGCCACCGGAGGAGGGTCCCACATGGCGCGCAGACCTCTCCTGCAGCCCGCTGCTCCCCTCAGCAGTGTACTTCGGTCCTTCTGCCTGCTCTGCTCCCCGCTCTGGCTCTGGTGAATTCTCTCACCCTCCCGCGCTTCTGACTGTACCAAGTGCATGTATAAACAAAACAAACAAACAAACAAATAAATAAATAAAAAAAAAACATGCCTCTATATATATAAAAAAAAAAAAAAAAAAAAGAGATAGACATCTGAGCATTTTTATCAGAAATTTATAAGGGCCTCCCTGGTGGTGCAAGGGGTTAAGCATAATTACTATGAAGCAATCTGCAACTACTGCAGCACAAGTTCGGTCCCAGGCAAGAGTTGGATCCCAGGACAGCCAGAGAGGTGACCCACATGGCACAGCAGACCTCTCCTGGTTTGCCCACTGCTCCCCTCAGCAGTACATTTCAGTCAGTCTGCCTGTTTTGTTCCCCACTCTGTCTCTGATGAATCCTCTCATCCCCAGCAACTCTGGCCTACTTCCTGGTTCTTGTATGTGTAAATAAATAAACATTTTTTTAAAAAAAGAAATTTATAAAATGTTCACATCACTCTTTTACATTATTAGATGGAAGCAAATGTTATCAGGTTTTGATGGTCTCTCTTTTGAAAAATTCTTCTCTGTCATTTACAATGGTTTCATCTTTCCTTCTTGAATTTTGCCCCATACCACACTTCTTACTGATTTGATCTATGCATATTTTTTTATAACTGGAAATCTCTTATTCATTATCCCTTCATACATCAGTCTTAAAAATATGCAATTAAATATGTGTTTACTATCCTGTGATTTTAAGTGTTCATCGATTCTCTTCCTCCTAGAGATAGCAGCATAACTTTTAGTAGCAAAATTTAATCAAAACAAGATTAACATATTAAGAGTTTCATAAATAATTATTAAATAATGTTGGCTCATGGATACACTGCTCAATGCAACTTTCTGAATAATGCAGCAGAGTCTGACTTCAGTCTGTTCTTGCTTCTACTTTCATATGAGACTCAGAGAAAGTTCAGTCTCAAAAGCAGGAGTTGTAGAATACAGTGACTTTCACCACCCTGAACTCCTTCCTAGTTCCATGCCAAAAATCTTAGTCATCGATGGACAAACTTTATTGTCAACAGCCTATTAACTGACAGTTTTCATGCTATTCTACTTTTGCTGAAGGCTAAGATTTCAAGTGTTACTGTGGTAGACAGTTTTCACAGTAGCAACTCCCTTTCTGAAAAGGAGGGTTCCTTGCTCCACCTGCTGGGGGAACTGCCCATAGACAGCCTGGCATCGTGGGCCAGCCCTCCCCATGAAGCGAGCCACCTCCCTCTGTGCAGCATCCCTGGACTAGAGTAGGGCCTCCAAGCCTGATCAGTGTGAGGGTCTGAAGACCAGACCCACAGACACCTGGGAGGGCTCAGAAGGGGCATCCGAGCAGCAGAGTCCTGTGGGATCTCTGAGGACGAAGGTCCGGCTGAGCCCTCCCTCTGCCCATCCTTCTCTGACCCATCCCTGGCACAGGGGTGGCCCAAGCACTCTACCTGTAAACCTCCTACCAGCTGATCCCACCCCAGATTCAGGTCTTGGGACACCACCTGCAGTGGCATCCACCAGCCATTTGTCACCTATGTTCTCAAATCTGGGATCTGCACCAAGAAGTCTTGACCAGAACTTAGTAGTCAAACCTATTACTCTTTCACTAAGAGTCCACTTGTATAAAATGATATATTTTAAAAGATTGGGGAAAATTAAAATATTTGCAGCCCTATTGCATCTTTGCCAATATAGTATCTTGAGAAAACTGCTTTCCTATTTTCATATGCTTTCAGTATATTTTTTCCTTCAAAATGCAGGGTTGCTGCTTTGAACCATTCCATCTCTAGAATAATCCAACCATGTGAACTAAATGCCAAAGCAAGTTGTCAATGTCAAATGTATTATTAATACATACTTCTGTTAGAAATCGCCTGACACTTTGTCTCTATATATATGTATATATTTGTATATAATATGTATGTGCTGATGAGCATTTTGAGGAGTATCATAACATGACTGAAAATTTAAAAATGTGTATGGTGAAAACATTAAAATCATGTAGATCTCGGTGATCACTTGTCTACATTATGATAATCTTGAAAACAGGAAAGTCCTTAGGCTATATATATATCATTATTTTTCAATATACAATGCAATCACTACTATTAGGTGCCACAGGTATATAGTTACAAATAAATGTGAGGGCATTGTTCGGCTTCTAGAAATAATGACATCAAAATGGAATATAAATCACATTCGCTTTGTTAGGCATCAGGAAAGGAGCATTTTGTGTGAATATAGCAAGGAAAACTGGACCACCTGCTAAGGACTCCAGGCTTCAGGTCAGGAGTAAACCCACATAGACAGGTAAGGCAGGAACCACTGGGTACTGGACCCATCCCTTGACCCCCACCTGAATCCCTACTCACCCATTTCCCTCTTGCTTCTCCCTTCCCTCTCTTCCCATAGCCCGTCCCCCTCCCCTTTGGGTAGAGACCCTGTGGATGGAGGGCAGTTCCTGGCTCTGTGGCTTCTAGGCAGTAACAGGTTTCTGGGAGTTCCTGAGAGTCAGGATTAGAAGTGAAACTAGTAAGACACTCTGCTTGCATGCAAAATTTAAGAGAGTGCCCCAAAACTCAGTAATCAAGACAAGTAACATTTAATACAATATTTTTAAAAATGGAAATCAATGCAAAACAAAATTCCATTGTAAAGAAAACATCAAAACTGGAGGTAGGACCTCCCCTGGTGGCGCAGGCGGTTGAGCGCAGTGCTGTGAAGCTGTTCGCAGCCTCTGCAGTGCTGGTTCAATCCCAGCCGGCAGGCGAGAATTCCACATGGCGGCCGCAGACCTCTTCTGTTGCACCTGCTGCTCCCCTCAGCGGTGTATTTCATCAGTCTGCCTCTTTTGCTCCCCACTCTGTCTCTGGTGAATACTCTCACCCTCCCATGCATTTGGCCTGTACCCCGGTTCTTGTATAAATAAATAAATAAATCTTAGGGGGGGGGGAAACTGGAGGTAAAGTTAGGTTCCGAGACTGTGTGACACCCTTCAATGGCCTCCTCCCTGATTGCCCCCTCCCCCGTTCCAGGAGTCATGTGGGTGCTGGGGAAGATGCAGAACCAGAGTCCCACCTCCAGATCCCCTCTTCTGCCCTCCTACACTGGAGTTGTGCCAGTCTGCCTCCTTCAGGCTCTGATCTCTGGTCCATTCTAGGGCTTCTCGTCCCTCTCTATTGCTGGTCTCTGCTGCCCTCTACTGGACTCTTCCCTAAAGGCTGCACTCCAAGAAGCTGGCTGGGGAAATTAGAGGTCAAAGAATTTTCCAAAGCCCCATACACTCAGGTTCCAGTCTGGCCCTGGCCCGTGTCCATAAGGGCAGGTCCTCCCGGATCCTGGCTGGTGCCAGTGAGTCGCAGGACACAGTCTGTACACCTGTGTGTCCTGCGAAAGACATTCTCAGTCGCTGTGCCTTAGCTTCCTCATCAGCAGGCGCTAGAAGTTCCTCGCCAGGTTGGTGAATCCGTAACACCTACAGAAGGAGCAGGATTCTCTCCCCATTTGCAAAGGACATGAGGAGGTAGGGATTCACCCCCAGAATGACCAGAGTTGCTGCAGTCTCCAAGGTTAATGGAAACCCCTCAGAGCTGGTTCAGGCGCTGCAGAACTGATCTGACTTTGAGGACTGAGAGATTCCTTGACGTTTGACATGCCCAGATGGATACTCGGTCATCCTCTGCCTCAGAACCTCCAAGCCCCATCCCTGAGATGGTCCAGATGAGATGAGCAGGGCCAGACCTTGAGTGAGAGAGGGCAGGGAGGGGGCACCTGTGCCAGGATAGAGATGTCCACAGTGGCCACAGGCAGTCTCTGGGACCTGTGGGTTGGAGCATGGTCATTGGGAACTGACCAGCAGGAGGCAGGGGTGCCCTCTGATGTGGAACAAGGACAGGGACTGGGCAGG